ACTGTTTTAAAACTAACATACAACCTTAAGCTTGTTATGAAGAACGAGATAAACAAAAAGTCTGAAACAAACACATGCTACTCACAAGTGTGTTTGCTCAGCACTTCAACAGATAATTTTTACGGTAGGCTTCTGGATGTATTAGGCTCTGATTCCCCTCACTTTCAGACAGCATGGGCAGTGGTTTTAGTCCAACACACTTGGAGGGCACCAGTTAGAAGAAGGCTGATTTCAAGACTCCATACCTTATATATGAATGAATGTTTTTGTATTCCAAGGAACAGGCTATTCTGAATCATGTCTTTCCCCATTAAAAATCTAACTTAGAAAATGCTGCCTTAAAAGAATATGATCTATGTAAATCTTAGGAGTTAACCTAAATTCCACAATGCCAGAATTGTGTTTCAAATATTAAAGTTGGCACCTACTTAACAACATAGTGATCATTTTTCTACTGGGAGAAAAAACATCTACCACCATTATTTGGTTTCAGAAATGAAACTTGGCTGTGGGCCTACACACAAACACCCTCAGGCACCTGCTTTTTATTTCCTCTGAATCAGATTTACCCCAAGCTAATCCTTGGCTTTACACCCTCTAAAGAACATAAAAACCTCCTAAGGGAAGTGACCCTCTCAATACTGTAATCCCCTGCTACCCTCTATAATAGATTGGACAATGTAAATTTGATGCACCGTTTCACTGAATTTGCAGCCAGACAAACTACAACAATAACTCTGACTGAGATGTCAGCTTTCCCATATGTCAACTGTGTCATTGTCAACTGTTGCACCAGAAACATCTAGTTACTGAGCTGGTACAGTGGAACGCCTTGATACATCCCTGGGTTCAGTATGCTTAAGGGAAGCCATGAGCAATTTGGAAATAGTTTAGATAGCGTAGATATCACTCCAGAAAATCATCGCAATAAATGATCAACCATCACTTATTACCATGATCAAGAGGTTTCCAGCAACTGTAGAAAATATTAAAAAAAGACTTAGAATGCATTCCTACCAAGTGCCCCTCTGTGCTCTTAAGCTTCTGAACTCAGAGGCTCACAAGAATGTCTGCCTCCCTGCTCCTCCTCTTCTGCAATTCAACTATGGAGCTTCAAAGGAAAGAGGCTAGAACACCATTAGGATACCTTGAATCCTGATAATGCCAGTCTCCCCTCCCACACACCCCTTCACCTCCTCTCTGAGGTCAATTTTCAGACCCCAGAGAAGCAGTGGCACAGTCTTTTCAGCACAGGCTGCATGCAGGGCAGGGGAATCATAAAGTGTGGATCTATAGCACAGAACTCCGTCTCTGACCTCAGAGTCATAGTCGCTGTACCTCATCGAGCTGTTCCAGTGCTATGATCAAATCACACCCTTTGCAGCTATCAGCCCAACTGTAGTAATGCCATGAAAAATCCAGGCACAAGGCACGTGCTATGAGTTCTGCTTGTCTGGGGAGGCCAAGGAGAGGATGGTAGGGCTGCTGAGAGCCTTTCCACAAGATAGTCAAAAATTGGAAAAGTCATAACCCCAGCTGCGCTCTCTCTCTCTCTCTCTCTCTCTCTCTCTCTCTCTCTCTCTCTGTGTGTGTGTGAGAGAGAGAGAGAGAGAGAGAGAGAGAGAGAGAGGAGGAGGAGGAGGAGGAGGAGGAGAGAGAGAGAGAGATTCCCAGTATAGAAGAGAATTATACATTTGACAACTAGCCCCTCTTCACTTTCCCACCTAACAAGAACATTTATGCACTGTTATTTACTTTGAGTTGTAAATGCAATGGGTTAGAACCAGGGTGTCCATGAGAAGAGTTCTGCTCCACTGGAAAAGATAAGGGGAAGTACTTCCACCAATTCTTCATTCCCCTTAAACCCCCAGTGTCACATCACATACTCATCTGCAGCAGTTCCTGAAACTTCCAGAGTACAGGAGTCTACCAGGGGAAGAGGCAATCAGTAAAAATTTCCTCCAACCAGGAGTTCTGCTGAATTCGAGCTCCTCCCATGAACAGAAGGACATGTTCCAATCCGTCTGATCCCACGATATACGTTTGCTCAGGGAAGGGCTGTATCCAACTGCAGGCACAGCAAAGCTACCTACCTCAGGCAATGGAGTTATTATTCAGTTTATTCTGTTTCAGTACCATGGAAGCATCAATTATATTTCCTGTCTTGAGGCATAAAATTACCTTGGGCCTTTTTCTAGTGCCATGGGCCATTACACACTGCTAATGTGGAAATCGGGGTTTATTAAGTGTAGTGTAGAAATAGAATGTTCATTGCACTTCTGGTTAGTAGTAGAAAAGCAATGCTCTTCCACAATCAGTGGGAATCTCTTAAAAATGTGAGACCTCAAGCTTGTGGGGCACATTTTTCCCTTAAAAAAAAAAAAAATCAAATTTTTAAACTGTATTTGGTCCTTTTTTCCCACTGGGCAACTTGATGTTTGTAATTACTTTATTTTTTTTTTCTAAATAAGAACTCAATGGCAGTTTGGACACCAACTGCAGCAGCTTTTTCAAGTTAAAATAATTTATGAGAGTCTTTATTTTGTTTGGAGTTTTTTCCCTTTTCTTTTTTGTACAGCAGCCTAGTTCCTAGGTTTTTTCCTTAAAGTTTTTTGAAAGCAAGTGGTTTACTATGGCTTTTACATTATGCATACTTTGAGGACAATATAGATATGAAATATGTTCGATCTTATAGGCTTTAGTCATCCAGGACACATGAAGCAAAGCTGTTATCTTTTGCCTGACATTTCTCATCCTTTTTTCTCAGCTCCTAAAAATGTGTAACCTACTGACTGCTCGCCATTGCCGGCTTAGCAGCACTTGAAATAGTGTTTTCCCCTATTCCCAGAGTATATTTCTTTTCTCTAAGTGATGTTCTATATGGTAATTGGATTTAACTTTCAACAGCTGAAAAATCCAACCATAATGTGGATTATAGATTAGTTGTGATGGATTCTAATGTGGATTAGAATAATGTGTGATGTGACAGAGTGTTACACTAGGAACCGAAGAGATCCGGGTTCTTGTGCCCACTCAGCCATTAAGTTCCCTGGGTTACTTTGAGCCAGTCACTCATCTCCATTCTTATCTGCTTTACAGGGTTGCTGCTGTAAGGATAAAATCGACCTCTGTAAGCCACCTTGGGTTCCTCACAAAAGGTTATTCTAAGGAAAAAGGGGGTAAAAGTGTGGGCTCTTACATAAAATAGGAATGCACCTTAATCATAACTGCACTTCTGTGGAAGAGCAATGCTTAAGGGTTATAGTAGTATGAAACCTCCCAGAGGATGCACACCCAGCCTCTCATGATGGGGAACAAGTAGTTCTTCAGCTCTTACGGAACTGCAACTCCCATTATTACTCAACATTGGTTATACTAGGACATCTGGGAGCCACATAGTCTGAAGCAAACTTCAGAAAATTGTCCCAGAGGTCAGCAGCGGGCGATGCAGAACATATGGACAAAAGAATTCTTGAAGGTACTTTAGACTGAACCTTGAAAGGTTTTAAAGGTTATTATTAACACCTTGTGTGCAGAAAGCCAGTGAAGAGACTTTAATGTCGGTGATATGGGGTCTCTGTAATGTTCCAGAGATCAACCTGACTGCCATATTTTGCACCAGTTAAAGTTTATATAGTAGGCACAAGGGTAATCCTGGATTTGAACTCTTAACAGCAGGTACTTGTTCAGTATCTTTGCATGTAATGTCCATAATTGCCCCATTTTTAATCAGAACCCCAAAAATGCATGAACTATATGAAAAAAACGGTTTTGGATTATGCTTCTTGGGTAATATAAAGGGTCTATAATTGAAAGCCAATGCTTAACTTATTGTAACCACCAATTAGTATGCATGGTTGCTTGGGAAATATATGATTAGGACAGCTCTTTCCAACAGGTACCCTCCAGATTCATTGGATGGGACTGGGACTCAGACGATCTGGGTTCTAGTCCCCGCTCAGCCATGGAGCCAACTGGGTGACTGGGCCAGTCACAGACTGTCAGCCCAACCTACCTCACAGGGTTGTTGTTGTGGGGATAAGATGGAGGAGGAGAATGATGTAAGCTGCCTTGAGCCCTTTGTAGGAAAAAGGCAGGATATAAATCAATCAATCAATCAATCAATCAAAAATAATTCCCAACCAGCATGGCCAATCACCATGGAGCGCACTTGTGGGCGAAGGCTGAATTTAGAAAGGGAAAACTTTATTAAAAACATTTCAATGGCTAACAAAGGCTAGAATCCAAATGGCTACTGGAGCGGCTCTACCTCTACAACATTAAAGACAATGAAGAAAGCAATTCAGATTTGTAATGAAGAGATGGGACACTGGGGCAGTGGAAATGATAAGCAGGAAAATGTTGGCTGGTTTTACAAATCCCAACTTCTCTAATATAAAATTTTATTTGAAGTATAATGGCCCAAGTTTGTAAATTTGCCAGAGCAGCTAAAAGGATCCCACTGGATGAAGTTGCCACCGTCTCTGTCAATTACCATATAGACAGGCATTCATAAGAACTGAGACATCTGTCCTTTTTATAAAGATAAGGGCTTAGCAGTACTGTGAGCAATTGTTCTTGATTTTTCCATATTAACCTATTAATTCTTGATGTATAAGTGTAATAATAATTATTATTTCATTTCTATATCACTATATTTCCCATGGCCAAGGCTCTATATTATACAATATTTTAAAGCATTGTATTCATATAAAACATGAAAACATTTACCACAGACCATACCTCTGTGATATAACCCGCTTGAACATTTTGCTTATTCTTTCAGACAAGCCATTTTAGAAAGAGACAGTTCTCTCAGCTGTGCAAACATTTGCTGACTATTTAATCCCATAGAGCTGGACAGACAGTCAACCATGCATTGTGCTCCACAAAAGAGAAAGATTTTTCCCCCTGGCAAATTGCAACTGCAATATCAGAAGTCTCCAATACCAAAACATTTTGTTCATCCCTTAAAGAAACATGACATCAGATTCTGTTACCTCAGTATGACCTGTAACTTTTGATCAATCTCTTGAAACTTCAGCCAATATTCACCAGCAAGTTTATGAAATCCAGTAAGCACTGAAGCTTTCAAATCAGGATATGGGCATTCCAAGGCCAATAACTGTGATGGAATCTCATGAAAGAGTGCAAACCTCTCTTCTAAAGAATATGCCAATACCTACAATGACATCAGAGGTGACTGGTATAGTATGAATGGGTCTTGCCCTTGTAATTGCAAATTAAAATCAAGCAAATGCACTTACTTCATCTGTGGATTCTTCCAGCTCTTCTTCCAAAGTTATTCTTTCAATATGAAGCTTTTCCAACAGCACTTTCTGTTGTTTCTTCACAAACTCAACCTGATTTTAGAAAACATTTTCATGCTGAACACTAGTTTTATTCCCATTTTTCTTCCTTCTCCCTCCCTTCAAATCTGCACAAAAAATATTCCATTTTTTTTATCCTCACAACAGTTCTGTGAGGTAAGCCAAATGGAAAGGGGGTGATTGGTCAGAGGTGATCCAGTGCTAATTGAATGAATGGCTGGATGAAGATTTGGTACTAGTATAACACTCTCTAATCACTACACCACACTGGTTCTCTCCAATGGCACAATTCCATTCACCAACTTACTCTGACATACATGAATGATCTGTTTCAGGCTGGGGGGCCCTAGCAGAACCTCCACTAGAAGACAACAACAGTTTCTGGTCCTACCTGTGAATAGCATTACAAAAAAATGAGAGGCAGGCAGGCAAAGAGAAGACAGGTATATATCCAAAACAGCCCTCTAGATATGATATGCAACCCCATGAATGAAGCCATCAGTCCATCAACACCTATTCAGGATGCCCTGAAGACAGATAGCTTTGCACAAAGAAATGCTAAGATGAGGCAGTAAGGCAATGCTGCTTTCAACTTACAAATCAGCTTTCAAATAGTTTTTAAATCATTAAGATGTCTATCTCATTTTGTTAGAACATGTGGATTGCAGGAAGCACTAAGTAAAAATAAACAATGAGGGTCTCCCTACACAAGGTATTTATTGTGGTCTCAGGATTCCTGAACCATGGTAGGTTGTGGGCACATCGTCATCTTCCAGGGCCTCTCTTGTGTTTTCTGAGCATTTTCACTTATTTTTTTAGAATGAGAATAATGAGGTAGCCATGCTATAAAATGCTACAAAATGGCTGTGTAGTTTTTCAATTCTGCAATACAGCACCACCACCTTGTGGTGGTGTAATGGAACAGACAGAAAGGAAGACAAATGCCCTGGGGGGAAAGACATGTGAAGAAGCTGATTTTAATTCCACAAATAAGTAGACGCCACAAAGCAGTAGATGCCTCAGTAAAGTGGTGGGTTAAAACAGCATAAAAACTTAACATACAGAAGCCCTAAAACAAAATTATAAGAAAAAACTTTTACCAGGCAGCACCTCACAAAAATCAGAAAATAAGTAAGCAATTGATTGTGTAATCACCAGTGATGGTGCAAGAAACCAAGTGCACCCAGTGGCTTGTAGAGAGCAACTGTGTATTCCTGTCTATATAACAAGGCAGTGTGTAGTTCTGATGGAATATAGCTAGCTGGGGAATTCTGGGAGTTGTAGGTCATTTTCCTATCTAAATGTGGTAGGATGGTGCTCCTACCCTGGACCAATCAACTTAGTATGTAGGCTCAACCACTAATTCTCTATCTAGTAATTTCTGTAGCACTTGATAACCAAAACTCTTATTCTGTGTGTAAAAGCTTCTTCTGAAGAATGAAACATTTTAGTAAGCATTTTGATTAGCAAACTTTTTAATAGATGACAAAGAATCAAAGCAGATTAAGAAGTGCAGGATATCAATACAGAACAGTTTCCCTTGTAGAAAAAGTAACAAATATGGTTTGCTTTCAGAGATACAATGGCCTGGATCATACATAATGGTGAACTATGGGTTAAACAATCCATAGTTAAGATCAAACAGCCTCTAGAAGGGCACAGGAATGAACAGAAATAAGGTTTGCTACGTAAGGTCCAGCTAGTTCAGCGTCCTGTTGCACACAGGGACTGCACTTGGATACAATGATTACACATGAAAGCAAGGGGAAGATTGTGTACCAAGTTAAATAAGCAACCCAGTAACACGAAATAATTGTTCGGCCTCCTGAACCACTGAATTACTAACCTCTTTTAACACTGCATCTGGATTAAACTGATAGTCTGGACATTTGCAGTTGGTCTGCATTTCCAACAGTCTGTACCTTAAATCTTCTCTTAGCTGCCAGACAGGTTGTACTGTATTGGCTTGAAATGTGTCCAACTCTTCTGATATTTTATATCCTATAGGAGGTTAAAAACAAATTATGGGCATTGCTTAGTCAAAGAAAGTCAATTAATTTGTCAGTAACAGATTACATAGTGCATTTTTAATAAAAAGCATATTTTCCAGAAGAAGGAATGGTTCCTCCTCTTTTAAAAGGAGTAATTAAATAGTTCCCAGAGAATGAAAGGGAAGGTATAATACTCCTGTGTACCTTGTTTTTATTATCTTGCTGCTGGACTCCGGAGAGAAGGAAAGGGGAGAGGAGTTGTTCTTTTTAGCTGTAACAAAAAGCTTGTTGGTGGGAGGGCAACACTCACTGAGAGAGTTTGGAAGAGCAGCATGAGCGATGTGGGGCTCTCCGTCCACTCTCCCTCTGAACACAGGAAAGCCCTGTGGGCTATAGGCAAATCTGGTAGCAGGAGCAGGCTAGCTATCACCCACAGGTTTGGCAAAGATGAGACCGCTTTTTCTTCATCCTGTCTGCTGCCCTTCTCTCCTCATGGTAAACACTCACAGCTGTTGAAGGAGATGTTCCATTTTGACAAGACAAGGTGACAACAGCTGCCACTGCTTCCCTTCTCTGCTTTTAGCTGCCTCTAGTCTGATTCTGCAACCCTTTTCCTTGCATTGTGCTCTTGGTCCACTAATAACTTTGTTTCGCTTGACCATAATCAGATGGGAGATTGTATATACCACTGTGCTACGAATCTTTCATTCCTCTTGACACTGATAGCAATTAGTTGGGCACAGCCCGTGAGTGGCAAGAATTTGTTGGGCTCCCCAAGCCTCCGAAGACACAATGTGGTGGACATGATGCATCATTTACCTTTGGTCTGATCTGCAAGTGTACTGCTGAAATAAAGACCTGGAATTGGGCTTGCAGTCCCCAGAAATTTCCTGGAGAGACGGGTACACATCAGATTTCTATGTTGTCTTCTGCCTAGGCAAGAAGCACCACTAGAGTCGTGAGGAATGACAAACTGAATGGGAGGGATTGACAAATACTTTTACCTCATAATAAGAAGTTTATCATTGTGCATTTGTACTTTGTATATATTTATTTTTCAAATTTGTATGCTGCCCAATAGTCAGAGGGATATTTATCTGCATATCAGTAAGTATAAAGACCTGGTTTCAGTAAGAAGTGGTGACATGGAAGTACTTACGCAAGTCCCACAAGTCCAAAACACATTCACTTCCTTCATCAAAGAAAGTCTGCATTTCAGACTCAAGTTTTTGCCTGAAATGAAAATAAATTTTTAAAAAACCAGTTTGGACAAAATAAATCAATTTCTTTTCATATTCAAAGACTGAGGGTGGGGTGAGCTAAAGGTATGAAGTCAGTCATTCACTTAAAATGTAGCTACCATTCTTCATTTCATGGATCCATGAACGATTGTTTGCCTTTCTTAATGCCTCTTTTTTTAAGCAGCAGCTACATAGTGAATTCCAAACCTTATCAATAAGTTCAAGAGAACTGGAGAAGTATTTTTCAAGTGAAACATTAATTTGGACTGCTTTAAGATTTATATTTTCAATATTTTTTGTACTGACAGCTCTTTTGTATATTAGAACCATCCCCCAAATCCTTCTTTTCCTTTATCTTTCAGCTGGTCTCTAGAGCTGATCTAATCTGTTATTTCCAAGTATTATCTCTTAGCTTGACAGCTCCCTTCTCTCCCTATTCCGTCCTACTTCAGAATCATGGCTGTTGTGTCCTTTTTGACTTAATGTAGGCTCATATAGCCTGAACCATGCGTATCTTCCAGATGAGTCCATCACTCCAACTTGTCATGTATAGGGCCTCCATTTGTCCTCTATGGACTACCTTAAGTTCCAAATTCCTGCCTGAAATGTGGCTTTGCTTCCTTGTGCTGGTACTGCATAAATGCAGCCCAAATGCAGTCTGGGACAGAGTAGGGGGACAGATTCTGTATCTACCCCAATTCTTCACATAAATTCTTTATGTGCAGGTAGTTCTACAGCAGAAATATTAGGGAACTCTGATGAACATATTTTGGGAGGGGTATGTTCTACAGCTTATGGCCACTATCTAAGCTTTTCTGGATTTCTTCCAATGTGGGGTCACCCTAAACAAGTCTTGTCTTATCTTCTAAAATTTTCCATGAGATGGAAAACCCATGTATAATTACCACTACTATTTACTGACACTGGGATGACCTCCTTCCCTTTATAGTTCTCAGGACATCATCAGCCAGTAAAACCTATATCTGCAACTACCAGTACCAGAGTATACTTGAGCCTCCTCTAATCTGATGTACTCCAGATACTTTAGGGTACAACTTCAAACATTCTTGACCACTAGCCATCCTTGCTGAGGCTGATGGGAATTAAAGTACATTAACAAGCTCAGAACCTCTAGACAGCTCCAGCTGGGGCAGGCTGGTATATATTAGTAGCCCTGCCACACAGATCCATGTCTCAGAGGCTCTTTGCACTCTGCTGGTTTCTTGAAGTACCCCAAAGTGTTCCTTTTGGTGGCATTTCATCTCCATACTGCCATTTATTGTGTTTTAACTAACTCACTGTGCAGAATCGATATCAATCCAGATTTTCCATCGTATTGGGGGGTGGGATATGCAAAACCTTTAAACTCCAATTGTATTTATTTTTTGATGTACATCCTGCCTTTTTCCTACAAAGGGCTCAAGGCAGCTTACATCCTCCTCCTCCTGCATCTTATCCCCACAACAACAACCCTGTGAGGTAGGCTGGGCTGAGAGTCTGTGACTGGCCCAAAGTCACCCAGTTGGCTCCATGGCTGAGCAGGGACTAGAACCCAGATCGTCTGAGTCCCAGTCCCATGCTCTTAACCACTACACCACACTGTACTGATGCAGTTGAAATGATACAGTTTCTTCAATTTAACACAATTATTTTATAAGGTGAGCATTCATTTACCATGATATTCTCTATTATCATAATGTCTGCATTTCTGTGATATCATCTTATCATGGATATTTAAGTTATGCCTGCGACACCTCAGCCTTGTTGCTACCAGTTTTTTCAATTACTTTATCAAGCTTTTCCGGTTCTTACCTGCTTTCATGCAGTCTCTTGTGCTCTTTCCACCACACTTGCTTATGCTGTTTCAGCAGCATTTGTTCTTTGCTAAATTTTGAAGCATACTCTGTCTTTTTAATCTAGGTTGAAGGTTTTATAATATTACATATATGTCTTCTGTTGGACTCTAATAAAAATGCTAAAACAGGCTTTCAATGTTACTGTCAATGACATGTGAATAGTAAGATGCATTATCAAATAAAAAAAGATTTGTTCTAGAAACAAAGAGTACACACACACACACACACAATTCTATCTCCTGTTGTACCAAGAGCTGCTGTCAAGCTTCCCACTTCCCACTAGCTGTCATTCAACTGCACCAAAAAATTCATAAGGATCTATAGTCCACATAATCCATGTGGACACCAGAAAAGTTAAAATAAATAACCATATTCTAGTGAAATGATTGATAATTTTTTAAGTTATTTTTAAAATTGAAGGTGAGCACATACTGTACAATATACTATAAAATATTTATTTAGTATAAATAGTTAACACAAAAATGAATGGTGCCAATAGCCAACAGCTGTAAAATGATCTGGTCCAGAAGAATCAGGAAAGAAGATAGCAGACTCCCTCTGTGCTCAAGAGTTACCTTTAGTGACAATCCACTACATACTCTGCAAGAACCTTTGTGAATACTACAACCAAAGAAATGGTATTGCTGTAACAGCAAACAGTCCATGCAATACAGTCAGAACACTTTAGGACCAGTTTACATATTTCTTTATCCCTGTGACAAGCTGCTTCCATGTGGAAAGTGACAAAATCCCATTCTGTTATCTAACTTGTTTCTTCCAGATCATGCAGAGACTTTTTCCACTCCACTAGCAGAAGCACCCAAAACTAGTGGGCATGGGAATCCACATGGTTAACCAACCTTAACCTTATGACATGCATGAAGCCTCACTATGTGGAACTGGTTTCGACAGGAATAAGGCAAAGAACAGACCAGCCTTTATGTAATAGGATTTCAGTACAGACGCATGGGCAAAACTGGGTTTAGAGGTACACAGATAAGGTATGTTTTTAAAACTATAGTACTGCCATTACTGTATGTATCCAGGCATTCACTTATAATCAGTAATAAGCTTAGTGACATCAGCTTATTTGAATGGGACAGAGCAGAAGACATCTTCAGTCTTAAACTGGAGACAGATTTTGTATTTCACACAGCAGTGCTATTTTCACTAAAAAAAAGTTTGAGAAGGTATGCAAGTGGACTTACAAAATTCAACATGTTTTAATATCTAGTTTTAAAGAAATAACATTTGTTGCATTTGAACACATTTATGAATTTGCTCAATACTTCGTTTTCAAGCAGAAAACAAGAGGGAGGGATCATCAATATTACAAAACCATTGTTGTATTTTATCTTATTTATTTAAAAATGGCAAAGAATTTCTAACCACTTGTCACATCTTATGTATTTATGATAAATTTGCACAATGACCTACAAAACACCACTCTAGAATTCCTATTATTTGATGATAAAGACACCTCTCTTCATCACTGAGCAGCTTTAGAGAGAATAGGTTTTGCGGTTTCCCTGACTAGAGAAAACTTGCAAAAAATGAAAAAGTGAAATACATAAGATTAGCATTTAGCTTTAAAGCTTGAATGACCCAAACTGAATTCTGCTCTGTCAGGCCATGAATCTATGCCATTTGGCAACAGCTTTGATAAATTACATCTCTAACATTAAAAGAAAAAAATACAGCAAGCAGTCCTTCCAGCCCTTTTTCATTGGTGAAAGAGAACCCCTGGTTTGTTGTTGAATTTTGAACTCCAGGTTGTTTGCAGGTAAGAATCTGTAGTTAAACCGTGACAACCCAAGATTCAACCCACATTCTGGGTTCTTATTAAGTACAAACCAGATCTAAGTGTTGCATCTGTTCTGATAATCATACATTTTTACATGTGTTTAATCAGTATTTTAACTTCTTTACAGTCTCCTCAGTGAGGGAGAGATACCAATTGTGTAACTATATGTTTCCATAATAAGAAACAACAAAAATCTGGTGATAAAATAGGTGGGCAGTCCTCTCTGTGGGGTAGGAAGTAACATGCAGGGACAGAAATTGCTCCTCATTGGGTGCTCTTGCATACTCCCAAAAGCTCTTCCCTTCTACATGGGAACCTTCTGCAGTGTCCATGTGGTTCTTTTTATCCCTGCCAGAAGCAGGTATTGCTTTGGCACTAGGATGCTTGGTGCTAACACTGGTGAGTTTCACGCAGACTACAATATCTTTTTGCAGAGTAAAGGAAGCAGCATGAACTAAACATGCATGCTAAAGCAAGCCGTAGCAACCATGGGCAGGGCTTGTGGAGCGGATGGACTGTGAATACCAGTCCAGGCAAGATATATGCATTCTAAGGCTTCAGGAAAACAGGGAGCAATTGAGGAATCAATTGCTCATTCCAGTTCCAAGGAAAGCAGAGTGTGGTGTCTCTAATTTATCCATGGATGCATATCCAGTGTGTTAGGACTCTCCATGTTTTCACATTGCTCTCATATTTTTCTACACTTTTGAGGTTACATTAGTGGTTCATAATGCCACCTTTGTGTCTGGAGTGTTTGCAATTGCCCAACAGGAGGGAATCACGTGGAGCCATTCCAATGCCGACATGATCATGTGAAATGCCCACAAATGAAGGACCACAGATGGATCCTTGGATTAATCTTGGGAGATGGCCATATGGTTGGCAATTGCAAAGTCCTGGGAGCAGAGACAGGCAAATACTGTCTAATGAGAAATGTGTCCCCCACTACAGCTTGTTTGCTCATCCTAATGTCTGATAGAAAAGAAAAATGAGAAAGCTTTATTAAGAATTTCTTAGCATATCTATAACCTTTCTAAAACAGAACGTGTTTGGAGACAAATGTTGCTTCCAGTTTGTTTCTACTCTGAAAATTTTCAATTCAAGAAACCAGCTCCTTCTCTGGTCCTGCATGTTTACAACTAAAGTAATTTGTCCTTTGTCCCTAAAAGCACAGAACCGATGAAACAAAGCCAGCAAATCAAATTTCCAGGAATATTGGTTTCAGCACACTTGCAAAAAGCAAACAGTGCTGATGGGCTTGGTATCACAAAGAAGGCTGCCCTCATTTTTATATCAATTATGTTTACTCAATTACTTCTTGTCACTCAAAAAGTGCTTTCTGCTCCAGCAGCTAATATGGCAACCACTGCTTGGCAAGTGAATTCTAACTGTAGCCTATATGCTGTTTTAAACATTAATGACATACTCCTTTTGTAGGGAACAGACACAATTTTGTTACACCATATGACGTGCCAGGGCCAATGAAGAAGTCTTTAGGGCCCTACCACTAGGTAAGGAGGCAGCTGCCTCCAGGAAATCATCACTGGGAGTCATGAAAGGGTAGCAGATTGCAGTTATCACCACCACCACCACCACCACCACCACCATCTTTATACTGTCGGGGCATGAGAGAGATACTTGTGGGATTTTTCTCCTTCAGGCACCAAGGTAACTTGACTTGCTGCTCTGTTTCAAGCAACAAAATGTCTTGGGCCAGCCCTCCCTGGCTCTAGCCTGCAGCCTCACTCTTAACAAACCCTCATGTATGGTGCATGTATTATGTGCTGGAACTAGGACTATTGCTAAGGCATCGCTGAGACAATTCATGCAGTGGGTAAAGCACCATCAGATCTAGGCTAGGAACCTTAGGGCGAGCTGTGAGGGGCAGGTGCACATCCCCTTTTCTTTCTTGCTTAGTGGAAAGATAGCAATTGCTAATTATAGACTCATAAGGTTTATCCATTGCAGCTGATGGTGTCCTGACACGGTTTGGGAGCACAGAGGAGTTTTATTGTTAGTTTTAACATGCTGTAGGACTCCTGAGCATTTCTTTTAATGGAAACCAGGGAAGGCAAAATGCCTTGAATCAAATTCTTGCTAACTAAAACTAATTCTATAGCCCAGCGTTGGGCAATACACAGCCAATCCCCATGGGGCCCTTACTGCCCCTCCAGTCGGCTACCCCACCCCTTCTGCTTTCTTTAAAACAAACTAAATGTGTTTCATTCATCACTGAAATTCATTGGCAAACAGATGGAGAGGCTGAAAATTGACAAATTTAGCTTGTTTTCAAGCAGTATTTCCTCATTCTAAGCCTTCATAACAACTAAGAGGCTTACAGCAAACAAATTCACCTTGTTTTCTCCCTGCTTTTTTTGTGGAATGGGGCAGTAGTGGGATGAGTGCAAACTGCAGTGGGCCTGAATAAATATATAAAGACAGGAGTAAACAATTGTCTCAAAATATCCACAAACCACAGATGTTAAGAATAATATCCCCAAATATAGACTGGCTTTACTAGCTAGTGGAATTAACTATTTAAAACTCAGATCCAGTGTATAAAATGTAGCTGGGCATTAAACACTTTTTTTTAAGCTGACAGTACTAATATCTAGCAATGCTTGCTGTACTTTTTCTCCAACACCTTGCCCTATGGATAGCATACTGTATGCATACTGCTTAATCAATCCTATAGCATCTCTTTCCTTTTTATTTGAATGCTATTTCAAGAACCGTTGATTTTAAAAGGTAACAGTCGCTTATTTTATCTAGTTTTATCTGCTTGTATCTTTACTAATTATTTATCATTTCTATTTATTGTTATTGTTTATGGGCTGTTTTGATTCTTATTCGATTTTAATGTTGTAAGCCGTCCTGAGATGTTGTCGTAAAGGACGGCATACAAATGTTTAAAATAAATACATACATACATACATACATCTAAAGTTGCATTCAACAACAGTCAATTTTTTTTTTAAATTACCTTGAACAGAATGTTAGCAGATTCTAACTTCTTTGCTTCAGTAATTGCATGTAGCTGTTCGTAGTCAACAGGTTTATACTTTGAACTCCTAAGGCCAGCTTTCACACAAACAACCATTTTGTCTAGTTAGGCATGAAACAATTCAAAAGGCTTAATAAAACTTAGCATTCCAGTGTTTCCAGTCATGATACCTTTTAGAACATAACTAAACAACTCCCCGTGCCTTTCCTTTTTTATTGATCCTATTACAATTATTAGAAAATTTACAATAACAGTCAGAGAAAATGTTAACAGTTGAACCACATTTTTTGAAAATGTAGTGTGTCATGCAAGCTACTGACCCAACTGCAAAAAACATTTGAGAGAAAGTTACAGGCCCTTGACATTAGTCAAATATGGATAATGATCTAAGCTACCTAAACACTCATTTGCCCTGTGGGGTTTGTATTGCTCCACTGCCCTTCCTCATTCATAGAATTTTTGAGGAGGGCTCCAGATGTTGTTAGCTTCCATGAGCACTCCAGTATTTTTTCACCACCTTTTACTTGCTGCAGAAAATCACTAAGCAAAAAGAATAGCTATATCATACTTTCCAATTATTAGTGTTGGAAGCCATCTTTCTTAAAGCACCCATATTTATTTTATTGCATCTATTTTTTAAAAAATGCATATTCAGTAAAGGAATTTGTTTGCAACAAGTTGGGAAACCTAACAGCTGTTACTTCAGATGATAAAGCACATGTCTCTTTAGTTCACTTAAGCAGTGGAGTGACACAGTACATCCCTCAATCTTCCTAGCCACAGACCAAGGCTATAATCCAGATTACTGTTTCTCTGGAGTAAGTCACACTAGATACTATGGGATTTGTTTCCAAGCAAACTTTCTTAAGGTTCTTCTGCACATTTCCTTCTTCTTCCCTACTTTTTTCAAGTTCTGCAGATGTGAGATAAAGACTATAATCATTGTAAGCTTCTTGAACTGCAGAGCATGAGACTTTGTTTACAAGACACCTCTCTCGGCTACAAAGGCAAAAGACTACTGCCACTGTAGAAAGTAAATGTCTAGCTCAGAAATAAAAAAGGTTCACAAAGCATAGTCAGGTTTTCAAAGTTTCTGGAAAACATGGATGAGAACTATAGAATGAACCCCACAAACTCTATAATGTTATATAATTGATACACCTTGCTACACTGAGACAATGGATGCTGTGACAAACAGACTGGAATATTTAAAGGTATATTTAAAAGTTTACCTATGCTGCTACTTCTGTGCATTGCATTAAATTCTTGAAGGTTCTTTCCACTCATCTTACATCTGTTGAAGAAGCATTTCATTACACACTAATGGTATTTACAGAGAAAGACTACTTTCAATGTATTTACTTTTTCTTTGTGTGAGACTTTATCTGTGCAGTGAAGTCTTTGTTGATAGAATTAGTTGTTGCTCAAGATATAAAATGAGGCAAATATTATACCTGCCATGGAATACCATCATTTTACTGTGATTTTTAAACAGTGCAGTCAAACAAAGTTACACCTGTATAAAAATACTGTTTGCCTTACAAAATGTGCAGTCCAATTCTACTAATATTTGCCATAAGATTCACTGAAACCAATAACTTACTTCCAAGTATACATGCATAAGATCAAACCCTAGGAACGTAAAATCCAACCTCTGAAAATCAAAAATCATGAACTGTGAAATGAGTTGCAATGATGTTAAATTTCAACATTTAATGCCATTAAATACTATAAAATCACTTGTAATATCAGAGAGAAAACACTTAAACCGTATCCCATGTTACTAAGTTTGTCCTACTTAGGTGGATTGTTGTGCTGCATAAACTCAGACTACTTCCCACAGGGTGTCTTCTTTGTAGCCTACAAGCCATCCTGACAACCTATGGTTCAATCCTGGGGTTACTGTACCCACAAAAAGTTGTGCTGTCTACACCACGGTGATCAACATCATTGTGAGTATTGGGAAGCAGCAGGTCAGTCACTTGGCAAGAGTGGCAAAACCCTTGCTATATTTGCCCAGGTCACACTGCCAGTGACCTCTGCCCCATCAATGTCCAGGTATCACGACAGAGTGACCATCACTGGCTTCATGTTGCTCACTGTGATTGGGAGCACTTTTCTGCTCATCGTACATCATAGGTTATTTGCAAGGTGGCTTCCTGTGAACCATGTACTTTGTGAATGAAATTATTCTCATCTGTAGTAAAAGTACCTTTGGCACCTGCTTGTCCTATTATGATAAAAAAAATTAATTTGTGGGGGGCTGAGGATGTAGACAAGATCAAGGGTATGCTCAACCACCAGAATGCTTTATCTTTGTCCCATCCTGGACAATTAGAGCAGCCAGCAAAGGATTGGTGAAGTAAGAAAAATGGTATACAGCTCCTTAAAGGAATGTGCAATTCCACCAATCCTTAACAGGCCTGCTGTGAGCCCTTTGTTGAAATAGCCCTCTCTGAATCCTACTGTGATACAAAGTGCTTGAGCATATAAATCCACATCTACTAGAGGTTCTTGGCAGAAATTGAGTAGCTAGACTCAATTCAAGTCAGCTTCAGCAATGGTTTTGGTGCTGAATCACCTTGCTAGGCAATATTTGCTGGGAGCTGGACAGCAGGACAACGCATTCTCATCAGTTCCAACCAGAAGGACAGAACATGGAAACTTTTTGGCCTGTCTAGAATGGTCATTGGGACCACTATTCTAGGTGGTTCCCATCCTTTGGGAGGGGGGGTTATTGCCAGAAGACAACACTGAGAAACAAATGTTGTTATCTTGGCCACTGCCATATGGTAACACTCAGGGGTCAATTCTGTCCTTTGTGCATGTACATCAGGAGCAGGCAATGTATTGTCCACCACAGCTTTAAAAATCCTGAATCATTAATCATGTTGGCTTGGCGGGGCCCAAAAGACTTGTAGTCTGAACTGTTTGAAGGAGACAGTTTGCCTATTCCTGATCTGTATGACATCTCTGGGACAGATGGATCAGGTAATGAGTATGTTATCAATATACAACTCTATTTGTTTAGTAGAGAAGCTTGTTGCTATCCCAAAACATCCATTCATAAGATAATCAGACTCGGCCAGGGTAACATGTGCCTTATTTACATTCAGGTTGGATTTTTGCAATTAATGGTACATGGGGGTACTTTCAAAGTCTTCTGAAATGACACGTGAACCAGAATATGACAGCAAGGTTGTTAGGAGGCACAGACCCAAAAGATCCTATCACATCTGTTTTGCAACAGTTACACGACTGCCAATTTGTTCCACACACAATTCAAAATATTGCCGACTACCTCCAAAACCCTAAACGACTTAGGTCCTGATGAGATTCTTGCCATTTATCTAAATTGCGAGGCATCTGTAACTCATATCTTCTGTTAACTTAAAGGAAGGCCACCTGACAACATCTAAACTTTAAAGCATAAAGAAAAAAGATTCAACTATACAGTGCCAAAGCAAAATAGGCAGGGAATTGCCAACTCTCTCTCACAATGTTTTCTTGGGTGCATATAAGACCTTCTTCGTTAATGGAAAGCTTAAAGCCTTCCTGATAGGAACATGACCACAGCTCATCAGTATTCGTTAATGTTTTTAAACTAGCTTTATAGTGAAATTCTCACTGCAAAGCATAGAGGCTGAGTTAAATAACTAACTAGATGTAAAAAAATAAAAATAAAAATCTTTGGTTAGGTTGATATAAGCAGGCCAGGTGGCAAACCAGAACCATTATGATTCTGGAAATTTAAAGGTAGAGCCAAAGAAACAGATGTCTGTGTTGCTATACAGTAGGTTGTCTTTATACACTAGTAAGTATGTCCAAGTGGAAAATCTGTGCAATAATTAATCTGAAGTCCACTAAAAGCACCTTTAAATCCCCTTTGTCTGGGAGAAGCATACAGCCATGGGGACAATGAGATATCAGAATTCCTTAAGAAGATTAGATGGGGTACATGTCACGCTCCATGTGATCTCTGCGCTCTTTCTTCTGCTTTGCTATCTGGAAAGCACCTCGCTGTCAATTTAACAATGAAGTCAGTAGGTGGCTTGCTGTTGACATGTATGGGAACTGGATCCACTCCTCAGCTGACAGCAGGAAGAGGAAATTCAGACAGGAAACTTACAGTGTTTCCTGTTTTCCTTCTTATAAGTGTAAATCATAATCAAGGGGAAAAGAACACCACCACTTTGATCCTCACTAGGATTGTTCCATTGCAACTATTCTGTACAAAAACTAACTTTCTTGCTTTTGCCAAGAGCTGACAGAGGATCAGTAAGATGGAGCAAAACTCTTTCTCATCTATAGCAAGCTTGGATGATTGACTGAAAGAGCTGTGATCCAACAAGACAGCCAGAAAATCTACTGTGATTCTTAAAAGCAGACAAATCATATGGCAAAAACAATAGCTTTGCTGGCTTCTAAAATCTAAGATGTTGACACCACCACCTTTTATAAACAAGATTACATTATTTTAGAGTATCACTATGGGAGATTTATGGATGCTCCCCAATAACATAAAGTACTGCACAAGATAGCCTCTCTCATTCTAGTACTCTCTGGATGTTTTGGACATCAATGCCCATCAGCCACAGCATGATCAGTCATCAGTAATGTTGAGCATTGTGCCCTCTGGGTGCTTTGAATTACCCATTTGGAGAATGAATGCTAGCATAACACTGGACATCACCAGATCAGGAAGTTCTCCACTCCTAAAAGCGGCAACCAATGCAAGGGAGCTTCACAAAGCAAATTGAAGAACATCATGCTATTTGCATTGCTGAACTGGAAAGAGGCGATGGTGGTATGAGGCATTGTTTTTGGGAGCAGTCACCATGGAAAAAAATTCTGGGAAAACCTGGCTTCTCCATGTAGCATGCAATTATGATAAATATACCATTATTTCTGAAGAGGACTAGATGGTGGAAAACTGAAATTCTACATTGTAATATCCATGTATTATGTGTAATATGTCATATAATACTGGTTATGATATACAATGTTTTATTTATTGATTTTTCCATTTCTATGCTACCAAGTACTTAAGTCCCTAGGTGGCTTACAAAATCATAAGTATACATTTAAATATAGAACAATTTAAAATTTCAAAAGCCTTAATTTAAAAAAAAATCAAATGTAATCATAATGCAACATTAAATAGGTAGAAAGGAGTCAGGATGAATTAAAATAGATACTAAAAAGGTATGTTTTCACCTGGTGCTGAAATGAAAATAATGATGGCACCAGGTATATTTCCCTTGAGTGTTTATTCCAGAGGTGGGGAGCAGCCACGGCAAAGGTCCTTTTCCTATTTGCCACCTCTTCACCTCTTTGAGGGGTGGCTCCTGTAGAAGGGCCTCCTCTTTTGACCTAAGGGGCTGGGCAGGTTCATACGAGTGAATGCTGTCCCTTAGGTAACCATGCCCTAAGCCATTTAGGACTTTATCTGTCAAAATAAGCACCTTGAATTGAGCCCAACTGGTTTTTTATGCAGTTTTTTAAGCACTGGATACTGAGTCCACCTGGGCCTCCAGGGATAGACCCAGGTCCAGGAGCACCTCCAAACCGCAAGACCTGTCCCTTAGGGGAGTGTGACCCCATCCAGGACAGGGGAGAGCCCCTCCAATCTGTCAGGTGGACTTCCTTCTAACAGCACCTCCATTTTGTCTGGATTAAGTTTCAGTTTATTGACCCTCATCCAGACCATTATCAAGTTCAGGCACTGGTTCAGGACATCCACTGCTTCACCTGGATTAGATGAAAAACAGAGGTAGAACTGAATATTATCAGCATATTGCTGACACTTCAGCTGAAACCTCCTGATGACTTCTCCCAGTGGTTTCATGTAGATGTTAAAAAGCATGGGGGATAACACTGAGCCTTATGAAACTCCATGACTCAAAGGCCATGGGCAGAGTTGCAGTCCACCAGCACCACCCTCTGAACATGGTCATCTAGGTAGGAGTGGAATCACTGCAGATCACTGCCCTCCCCACTCCCAACTCAGCCAACCTGCCCAGAAAGACACCATGGTTGATGGTGTCGATAGTCACTGAGAGGTCAAGGAGAATCAACAGGGTTGTGAATCAACAGGGTTGTGCTCCCCTCTCTCTCTCCCTGCAAAGGTACAGGGCAACAAAGGCAGTCTCTGATCCGAACCCAGGTCTGAAACCTGATTGAATGAATCTAGAAAATCCATCTCATCCAAGAGTACCTGGAGCTGCCGAGCCACCACCCGTTCTAATATCTTGCCCCCCCCCCCCAAAAAAGGGAAGTTTAGCCATGGG